GGGCCTGGAGGAGTCCTGAGGCCTTCCCTGAGGAAGGAATTCAAGGCCTTGGGGAGGTGTCAGGTGAACTAAAAGAGGGTGAATTAAGGTGAACTGAGGCATCTGGGGGGACCCCTGGAGTGGTTCTGTGGTGCTTGTGTGGGTGGGTGGGACATGGAAGGGCCCTGAGGCTTTGGGGGGGAGGCTGAGGAGGAAGGTCAAGGCCTTGAGGGGGTATCGGGTGAACTAAGGGTGCCCTGAGGCATTTGGGGGGACCCCTGGAGTGGTTCTGAGGTGCTTGGGTGGGACATGGAAGGGTCCTGAGGCTTTTGGGGGGGCCCTGAGGAGGAAGGTCAGAGCTTTAGGAGGGTGTCAGGTGCCCTGGGGGGAGTCAAGGCTCTTGGGGAGGCCCTGGAGGGGTCCCCAGACCTTTGATGGGGGACACAGAGTCATTGGGGGGGAGGTCAAGGCCTTGAGGGGTGTCAAGTGAACTAAGGGTGCCCTAAAATCCTTGAGGGGGGGGGCACTCAGTGCTGTCAGGGGGGCACTAGGGACAGTTTTGGGGCACTCATGGCCCGGTGGTGACCCAGTGGGTGCCAACCTGGCGTTTGGGGGGGGCACTTGGGGCAGTTGTGGGGGGTTTGGGGGTGCTCCCTGAGCCCCTGGATTTGAGGGGTTTGGATGTGGGGGGATCATTCTGTGCCACTGAGTCACGTTTGGGGACGTGAGGGGGGGTTTGTCCTGATCTCCTCCCTCTCTCCTGACTCCCTCCTCGTGTCGTGCCCCAGACAAAGACCCCGTGGCCCACAAGAAGGTCGCCAGCCTGACCATCAACTTCGGGCCCCAGCACCCGGCGGCTCACGGGGTCCTGCGGCTGGTGATGGAGCTGAGTGGGGAGACGGTGAAACGCTGTGACCCCCACGTGGGGCTGCTGCACAGGGGCACTGAGAAGCTCATCGAGTACAAAACCTACCTGCAGGTGGGACCCCACGGCCCCAGGGACCCCCGAATCCCCCTGGGAACCCCCAGTGCCCTCGGAGACACAGCCCTGCAGCCCCCCAATCCTCTGGGACCCCCATTTGGGTTCTGCTGCACAGGGGCACTGAGAAGCTCATCAAGCACAAAACTCACCTCCAGGTGCAGTCCCACATTCCCAGCGGATAAACAGCCAGTGGGACCCCATCCCTGGGACCCTCTGATCCCCTGGGACCCCATCCCTGCAGCCCCCAGTGCCCTGGGATCCCCCCCCGAGTTCCCTGGGAGACACAACCCCGGGATCCCCCACCCCTGTGATCCCCCCATCCCTGGGAGACCCATCTCGAGCCCCCCAGGACCCCCATCCCTGCCCACTGATTCCAGGCTCACCTGGAACATGCTGAAGGTCCCAGATTTGGGGCCTGCAGCCCCTCCAAGGAGCTGGAAAACCCTGGAAGAGGGATATCATTTACCTTCCACGGCTCTCATCCCATCTCAGGGCCTGTATCCACATGTCCCTCCGACCCCATCTCAGGGTTGTCCGTTTTTCCCGGAGCTTCCAACCCCATTCCCAGTTCCCACGGAGGCCGGGCAGGTGCTGCTGCCAGCCCTGCTTCCCGGTGCTCCCAGTATTCCCTGTTTTTTCCACAGGCTCTTCCTTACTTCGACCGCCTGGACTACGTGTCCATGATGTGCAACGAGCAGTGCTATTCCCTGGCCGTGGAGAAGCTGCTCAACATCCGGCCCCCTCCGCGGGCCCAGTGGATCCGAGGTGGGTGGGAGGGTGTCCCCCTTGGCATTCCCAGTTTTTGTGGACCCCCAGGACTTAGGGAACAGGGGCCCTCAGCTCAGGAAGGGCAGGGAGGGGCTGGAGCAGGGCCAGGGAAGAGCAGCGAGGCTGGAGAAGGGTCTGGAGCACAATTCCTGTGAGGAGAGGAAGACAGCTGGGATTTGGGATGGACAGGAAGATGGACAGGAGCCAGAGTGTGCCCAGGGGGCCAAGAGGGCCGATGGATCCTGGCCTGGCTCGGGATCAGGGCAGGGATTCTGCCCCTGTGAGGCCTCACCTCGAGTGCTGTGTCCAACTCTGGGCCCTCGGCTCATGGAGGGGCTGGAGCAGGGCCAGGGAAGAGCAGCGAGGCTGGGGAAGGGTCTGGAGCACAATTCCCGTGAGGAGAGGCTGAGAGCTGGGATTTGGGATGGACAGGAAGCTGAACAGGAGCCAGAGTGTGCCCAGGGGGCCAAGAGGGCTGATGGATCCCGGCCTGGCTCAGGATCAGGGCAGGGATTCTGCCCCTGGGAGGCCTCACCTCGAGTGTGTCCAGCTCTGGGCCCTCAGCTCAGGAAGGACATGGAGGGGCTGGAGCAGGGCCAGGGAAGAGCAGCGAGGCCGGGGAAGGGACTGGAGCACAATTCCCATGAGGAGAGGCTGAGGGAGCTGGGGGGGCTCAGCCTGGAGAGGAGGAGGCTCAGGGGAGACCTCCCCACTCTGCACAACTCCCTGACAGGAGGGCTCTGCTCCCAGGAACCAGCAGCAGGACAGGAGGGTCTCAAGCTGTGCCACGGTGTGATATTAGGAAGGAATTCTTTCCAGAGAGGGTGCTCAGCCATTGGAATGGGCTGCCCAGGGAGGGGGTGGATTCTCCGTCCCTGGAGGTGTTTAAGCACAGCCTGGATGTGGCATCAGTGCCACGGGCTGGGAACCACGGCGGGGTCGGAGCGAGGGCTGGACTGGATGATCTCAGAGGGCTTTTCCAACCCAGTGGATTCTGCAATTCCGCGATTCCGTGAATCCCCCCCCTTTCCCCCCCTCTCCCCCAGTTCTGTTCGCGGAGATCACGCGGCTGCTCAACCACATCATGGCGGTGACGACGCACGCGCTGGACATCGGGGCCATGACCCCCTTCTTCTGGATGTTTGAGGAGAGGGAGAAGGTGGGGCCTGGGGGGCACCTGGTGCTGCCCCCGGTGCCCTTCCAGTGCTCCCCAGTGTTCCCAGCGACCCCCCGCGTTCCTAGTGATCCGCAGTCTCTCCCAGTGCTCCCAGGGACCCTCAGTCTTTCCCAGTGCTCCCAGTGATCCGCAGTCTCTCCCAGTGCTTCCAGGGACCCTCAGTCTCTCCCAGTGCTCCCGGTGATCTTCAGTCTCTCCCAGTACTCCACCAGTGCTCACAGTGCCCCCACAGCACTCTGAGTGTCCCCCAGTGCTCTCAGCACTCCCCCAGTGCTCCCAGTGCCCCCCCGTGCTCCCAGTGCCCCCCGGGCCCCCCCAGTGCTCCCAGCACTCCCCCAGTGCTCCCAGTGCCCCCCAGTGCTCTCAGCACTCCCAGTACCCCCCAGCACTCCCAGTGTCCCCCCAGTGCTCCCAGCGCCTCCCCGGCACTCCCAGTGCCCTCTGGAGTGCCAGGGGGTCTGTGCAGACCGGGGGGTCTCCTGTGCCCCCCCAGATGTTCGAGTTCTACGAGCGGGTGTCGGGGGCACGGATGCACGCGGCCTACATCCGCCCCGGGGGGGTGCACCAGGTAAGGGGGGGCTCCCTGGGCTTCCTCTGGGACCCCCATTCCCCTGGGACCCCCCTCCCAGGGTACCCCCCATTCCCCTGGGAGCCCCCAGCCCCAGGATCCCCCCATTCCCTGGAACTCCCATCCCTGGGATGCCTCTCTCTGGGACCCCTATCCCTGGGATCCCCCTCCTGGGGTCACCCCCATTCCCCTGGGACCTCCCGTTCTTCCTGGAACCCCCATTTCCAGGGACCCCATTCCCCCGAGTCCTCCACACCTGGGACCTCCATTGGGCCCCCCCTCCTGCCCACATCCCTGGTGCCACCTGAGCTCCCACCTGTCCCCCCAATCCCACCTGAGCTCCCACCTGTCCCCCCAATGCCACCTGTCCCCCCCGTGCCAGGACCTGCCCCTGGGGCTCATGGACGACATCTACGAGTTCGTGAAGAACTTCTCCATCCGGATCGACGAGGTGGAGGAGGTGAGGGGGGAATTTGGGATTCTGGGAAGGAAGGGGGGGGACAGGTGATGGTGCCAGGGACAGGTGATGGTGCCAGGGACAGGTGAGGGGTGCCAGGGACAGGTAACGATGCCAGGGGGAGGTGACAGTGCCAGGGACAGGTGAGAGGTGGAGGTATTGATGACAGGGACAGGTTTTAGGTACAAGGGATGGGTGAGGGGTGGCAGGGGCATGTGCCAGGTGCCCTGGACAGGTGCCCTGGGCAGGTGCCAGGTGTGCCAGGTGTCCCCTGCCCCCCCCAGATGCTCACCAACAACCGCATCTGGAAGAACCGCACCGTGGACATCGGGGTGATCACGGCCGAGGAGGCCCTGAACTACGGCTTCAGGTGAGCCCACCCCCCACCCCAGGTGTGCCCTCGTGCCCGGGGCGGGGCCTGGCACAGCCCTCAGGTGTGTTTTTGGGGGGTTCCCAGCGGGGTGATGCTCCGGGGCTCCGGGATCCACTGGGACCTGAGGAAGACGCAGCCCTACGACGTCTACGACCAGGTGGAGTTCGACGTCCCCATCGGCTCCCGGGGGGACTGCTACGACAGGTGAGGGCATAGGGCAGGGCACGGGGACAGGGGAGGGGACAGGGCAGGGCACAGGGGCAGGGGAGGGGTCTGAGGAACAGGTCATGGTGCCAGGGACAGGTGATGGTGCAAAGGACAGGTAAGGGTGAAAAGGACAGGTG